GCTGGGGGTGCGGCCGTGTGCACAGGGCCACCACTGTCCCCGGGAACTCGTGGGTGGGCCCACGGCTGCTGGACGCGCCCCAGGCCGCCGCGGGGCGTCGGGCAGGCGTGGGCCCTCGGGGCGCGTGGCCATGCGTGCCGGCCCACCAGCTGCCGCTCCCCGGCTCAGACGGCGCCGGGCTCCTCTCGGTCAGGGTCCGGGCCCGCCTGTGGGTGGCACTCTGCGTCCCCTGGAGCCCAGCCGTCGCTGCCCTTGCCTCGTGGTGCAGCTCTCGGCTGGGGCCCCAGCCTCACCCACGCGCGTGCCTGCCGCCCCCTCAGGGGTCGCCGGGGGTCATCGCCAACCCCTTCGCGGCCGGTGCCGGCCGCAGGAGCAGCCTGGAGAGCGTCTCCTCCGTCGACCGGGAGCTGAGCCCCGAGGGCCCCCGCAAGGTCAGAGCCGCCCGTGGCCCGCGCCCCAGGGCTGGGAGCCAGGCGCCACGGGCCCCTGAAGGCCACCTGCTTTGCTCACAGGACAAGGAGCTGCCTGGACAGACGCCGCCGTGGGGACCAGAGGCCGTGGTGAGTGTCCGGCTTCCTGGCCTGGCACGCCAGCCCTGGCTCTGCACCAGCTGCCCCTCCTCAGGGCACCACGGGGCGGGCGTGGCGGGGGCAGTCACGTCCAGCCCCAGCCCCACCCCCGACACGGCCGGGCTGCAGCCCCTCCCCACCACCCGGCCGGCCGCCCGCCGGCTCTGGCGGCGTGCACCGCCTCGGAGTCCCTGGGTGGCACTGGAGGTCCAGCCTCTGCCTGCCTGTTTGTCGGCCCCGTCCCTGCCTCAGCTCCCTCTCTGCAACCGAGACCCTGCAGGACAGAGCTCCTGGGTGGGCGCCGCAGGGGCCCCGGCTCTGGGGCCGAGGCTGCAGGGGAGGGCCCTGGCCAGGATGGGGTGGGGACTGGCATCAGGGCCCGCAGGGCCGGGCTGGCCAGGGGAGCCCGGCTGGAACCCCTCCTGGCCTGGCACAGGTCACATCCCCCAATCTCGGAACCAAGCCACGCAGCTGGTGCTGCTGGTGCCTCTTCGCCCCTGAGGACCGGAGGTTTGCAGGGACGGGGGCTCCCGTGAAGGACTTGGGGCTCAGCAGACTGGCCGTGGGAAGCCCGGGCCCGTTGCAGTCAGTGGGGGTCCCAGAGGGTTCGGGGTGGGGTGGGCGCTGCCGCCGCCGTGGGGAGGACAGGCTGGAGCAGCGGGCGGCCAGGGGCCACGGGGAACGGGAACAGGGCAGCAGGGGCAGCTGGGCGGGGTGGCGGGTGCTGTTCAGGTCTCACTCCCCCAGAGACGGGGGTAGCCCTACAAGCCGGTCCGGCCAGTGCCACCGGGAGGCCCCACAGGAGCACGAGTGGTGGGCAGACGGGGTGCCCGGACGTGTGAAGGGCCGGCGGCACCCCCCCCCCACGCTGGCAAGGAGCGGCCGAGAGCAGGAGGCGTGGGGCAAGGTGGGGGCCCGGCGTCCTCTGACCAAGTTTTGCCGGAGCTCTGGGGAGGCAGGTGGGCACGGGGCCTCCCCAGACCCGATGCCTTTGAGACCTGCAGGGCGTCCACACAGGGCCTTGGCCAGGCACGGTCAGCAGCAGCAGGGACGGGCCCCTGCCCTGCGCAGGCCCACTCTTGCTCCGCCCCATCTGGCCGCGGTCTGGGCCAGCTGTGCGTCCCCCTCTCCCGGGAAGCTCCGGGCTGCACCCCATCAGAGACATGCGCCTTGGGGCGCAGGGCAGGGGCCCGGCATGCCCCAGGCCTCCCGTGCCCCCCAGCATTTGGGGCGGGGGGCTGTGGTGCTGGCTGAGCAGCAGTCAGGGCCCCTGGGACGTCCCTGGGGCTGCGGTCGGGTCAGGGAGCTGAGTGCGCACCTCTGTGCCACCAAGGCAAGCCCCCCAGCCCCGCCTGACCCTCACCCACCTGGCTCTTCCAGGTGCCCACCCGAGGGAAGCCAGCTGAGGCACCCCGCTCCCCTGGCCACCAGCAGGTGAGGGCCCACCAGGTGGGATGGGGGCCCGTGCCGACGGTGCTTGCGTCCGGTGCCTTCTCCGGGCAGACGTGGGTGCCCCCCTTCTCTAGGGGAGCACAGCCCCAGGCACCCTCCTGGACAGGCCCGGCCAGTGTCAGGGGCGGAAGCTCCCGTGGTTCCCCTGGGCAGACAGGGCTGGGCGGTCTAGGTCTCCTGCCCAGCACCTGGGGGCCCACGTGGCCCTGCCCCTCCCTGTGGCCTGAAGCTCCCTGGCTCTGCCGCAGGGCGACCCTGGTCACCCACCCTGCTGCCACCCCGGCTCCATCTCTCTCTGTCTTTCTCCTTCCATCCCCTCACCCCTTCCCTGCACCCCTGGCTCCCCCCTCTGGCCCCCACCCTTTGCAGACAAAACCGGGGGTGATCCAGCCACTGGCTCAGGTCTGGCCCAGGGGCTCCCCGGGCCCCAGGGGCAGAGGCAGTCCCCTCACTGTGAGTGCCCTGACCCGCGGGGGGGCGGGGGCGGGGGCCGTCAGTGGGAACAGCTGTGGGCTGGGCGGGTGGTGGCCGCAGTCTCCACAGCCGCCCCGCACGGCTCACCAGAGCCCCGCCCCCCAGCCGCCCTCCCCGCCCTCCCCGGACGAGCTGCCCTCCGACGTGAAGCGGGCCTACAGGACCTTCGCTGCCGTGCCTGGCCCACACCCCCCGCAGGACGAGGCCGCCCCGGTGAGTGCGGGGCTGCCCTCCCCGGCCGCGGGCCCCTGCTGGCCGGGCGCACGCTAGGGAGGGAGCCGCCCCCGTCTCAGACGCCGCCCCCCGCAGCCCCCCACGCCCGGGCCCACCGCCTCCCCGGAGCAGCTGTCCTTCCGGGAGCGGCAGAAGTACTTCGAGCTGGAGGTGCGGGTGCCGCAGGCCGAGGGCCCCCCCAAGCGCGTGTCCCTGGTGGGTGCTGACGACCTGCGGAAGATGCAGGAGGAGGAAGGTGAGCGGGCGCTGAGCCCCGGCGGGCGGGCGGGCGGGCGCGGGGGGGGGGGGCGGGGGGCGGGGGCCGCCCCCTGGCCTGACCTGCAGCCCCGCCCCCAGCCCGGAAGCTGCAGCAGAGGAGGGCGCAGATGCTGCGGGAGGCGGCGGGCCCGGGCTCGGGCCCGGACCGGGAGGCCCCGGACGACAGCGAGGAGCCGGAGGAGGAGCCTCCCTGGGCCGCAGGCTCCGCCGCAGGGTGAGGCTGGGGGAGGGGTCCTGGCACCCACATGCTGCTACGTGTGCCCCTGCCGCCGGCCCCCCGCCCACCTGGACCCTGTTCTGTCCCCTGACCCAGGTTTGTCCCATCGTCCCCGCCGCCCCTGGGGAGCAGCGCCCCAGTGCGGACAGCCAAAGCCGAGCGACGCCATCAGGAGCGGCTGCGCGTGCAGAGCCCTGAGCTGCCGGTGCCGGAGAGGGCCCTGTCCCCCGCTGAGCGCCGGGCCCTGGAGGCAGAGAAGCGTGCCCTGTGGAGGGCCGCCAGGTGAGGCCCGGGGCCTGCCCCTGCTGCCCCGCCCACTGCCACGCCGCCCCGCCCACTGCCACGCCGCCCTCTCCGCAGGATGAAGTCCCTGGAGCAGGATGCTCTCCGCGCACAGATGGTTCTCAGCAAGTCCCAGGAGGGCCGGAGCAAGCGCGGGCCCCTAGAGCGGCTGGCCGAGGCCCCCTCCCCCGCGCCCACCCCGTCACCCACCCCCTTGGAAGGTCTGTGTCTCCGAGGGGCGCCGGGGGCGTGGCCTGCAGCGCAGACCACTCCCAACGCCCGTTTCTTGTCCCCCCAGACCTTGGCCCCCAGACCAGCATCTCCCCTGGACGCCTGGTGAGGACCAGCCGCCCCCTCGCCCACACTGCTCCCCCGCGGCGCGGGGGCGGGGACCCAGGCCGCGCCCCCCACCCCTTGCTCAGCGCCGGCCTCTGCCTCTCTCCCTCACGCTGCCCTCTCAAGGCCTGGTCTGGGAGGAAGTTCGACTACAGGGTGTTCGCCGCCCTCCCCTCTTCCAGACCTGTCTGTGACCTGCAGGTACCGGGCCCTCGGGCCGCAGCTCTGCGGCCGGCCCCGTCCCCGCCTGCAGTGCCTCACCCTCTCTTTCCGGGCCGGACCGCTCCTGGGGTGCGGGGCCGCCCCACCCCGGCTCGCGAGGGTGGTGTCAGGCGGGTCGAGGGCAGAGCCCTGACCCAGCCCTTGTCCCCACCACAGTCCCCGGACTTTGCTGAGGAGCTGAGGTCCCTGGAGCCGTCTCCCAGCCCGGGTGAGTGGCCAGGCCAGGCTGGGGTGGCACCCTGGGTGCCCGGCCCCCTCGCCTCACTCCCCGCCCCCGCCTCCGCCCACCAGGCCTGCAGGAGGACGGAGAGGTGGCCATGGTGCTGCTGGGCAGGCCCTCGCCGGACGCCGTGGGCCCCGAGGAGGTGACACTGTGCAGCAGCCGCCGCCCGATGCGTGCAGGTCGCCGTGGCCTGGGCCCAGTGCCCTCTTAGGGGGTGGGGACCCTCCCCCAGACTCGGGGTGGGGGCCCCCCAGCTCCAGCACCACCCTCGCCCCAAGTCTTTTAACCTGGGTGTTAGCGTTTTAAAGAGACCCCTCAGGAGTTCTGGCCTCTGACTGACTGCCCCCTCACCGCGCCCCGGCCGGGACCTCTGGCGAGACTGTAACTAGTGACGTTTGTACAACCAAAGACTCTATTTTGTGGTTTAAGGAGAATAAAATTGACTACGTTTTACCTCGGTCTGAGTGTCTGCACACCCCCACACCCACACCCACCGCCCCTGCCCGCCGAGGCCGAGGGCCCTGGCGGGGGGCCCCGGCCACCTCACTGTGCCGCCGCTCCACGTCAGGGGGACTGGCCAACCTGCCTGCCGGCCCCCAGGGGGGACACCCCGCCCCAGTGCCTGCAAACTGGTGTCCGGCGGGGCCCCCGCCTGCCTGAAGGGGGCTGTGGACGCGCACGCTGAGCCCCCACCCCCTGCCCAGGCTCACAGACACACACACACAGCGGCCGACCGACCCAGGGCTTCGCTTTATTGGTGCCCGGCGCTACTGGCCCCCACTGGGCAGCTGCACTCGCACGGGGAGCAGGACCTGCAGCTGCTCGGCAGGGGGCCACCGGACCTTGGTGACGAAGAAGAGGCGGAACTGCTCCAGGCGCGCCTCCTGGAACTGGGTGGGGCCGTACTCCAGCCCGTCCTCGGGCCGGAGCAGAGACAGGTACCTGTCCTCCTGCAGCAGCCGGCGGCTCAGCAGCTCCTGTGCCAGGTCCGGCTGCACTGCCTCCAGCTGCTGCTGCACCACCGGGAACAGGTCCACCTCCCGCAGGTCAAACACCAGCGGCTTCCCGTACCTGCAGGCAGGGCCTGTGGTGAGCCGGGGCGGGGGCGGGGGCGGCGGGGGCAGCGAGCCGGGGCGGGGCGGGGCGTGTGCCCCTCCCCCGCCTCACCTGAGTGCTCCCAGCAGCGCCAGCCGGACCCGCTCCGGCTGCAGGTGGTCCGGGTTCAAGGTGTCCAGATAGTTGGTGTCCTGGTAGCGCAAGAAGGTAGCCGCCTGGCCGGAAGGGTCGATGATGAGAGGCCACCTGGGGGCAGCCAGAGAGTCACGGCCCGTGCGCAACCCTCGGCCTGCCCCTCGCCCGGCTGCGCCACTGACCGGCCGTCGGCGCGGAGGCGGCCGCCCACGTCCCTCATCAGCACGTCGTGCAGCTCGGCGACCTGGCACGCCAGCCCCGGGGGCTCCTCCTCCCCTGCGGGGACAGAGGGTGAGGCGGCCCCCTGGGGCTCCCAACCACGCCCCCCCTCCCCCCTCCCCCTCCCCTCCCCTCCCCCTCCCCTCCCCTCCCCCCCTCTCCCGCCCCCCAGCCGGCCCGAGCCCCGCCCACCCTGCTGAGTCTGCTCCCGCAGCTCTAGTCTGGCCAGGGCCAGGGTCTCTTCGGCCTTCTGGGCCTCCTGCCGCAGCCTGTCCACTTGGGCCTCTGCGTCCTTGATGGCCTGAGGGAGGGGCCGCACTCCGCTCGGACCGCAGCTGCACCCCTCTGCTCCCAGAGCCCCCCCCCCCCCCGCGCCGTGTTGGCCTGGGGGGGGCGAGCGCTCACCTGCAGCGTGAGCTCAGCCAGGCCCGCACGCCTCTGCTCACACTTGTCGTGCTCTGTGATCCTGCGGTTCAGCTCGCAGTAGGCCTGCTGCAGCTGGGGCGGGGGGCGCTGAGGCTTCCAAGCTGGTCCTGGCCACGCCCCCGCTGCCCTGCCCCCGGTACCCCCCCCCCCGCCCCGGCCGCCCGCCCCCGCCCCCTCAACTCCAAACCCCGCCGGCCCCCGGCTTCTGGGTGGCTGCTCACTTCCTTGTGGCGCTGCTGCTGTTCCTTCGCCAGCTGCTGCACCTTGAGGTTCATGCTGGGGTGGGAGGGCACGGGTCAGAGCAGCCCTTGGGGGCGCACGGGGTGGGGGGCCCTCCCCGGGCTCACCGCTGGGCCTCCGCCTCCCTGTGCCGCTCGGCCTCCTGGGCCCGGCGCTGCTGCTCAGCCTCCATGTTCCGGAGCATGGCCTCCGTGAGGCTCAGGTCCCAGGACCGCAGCGTGCCGGCCACGGCGTCCAGCGAGGCCACCTGGTGGCAGGGTCCTGTCAGGGCCCGCACCGCCGGAGCCTGGGGAGGACGAGCTGCCCCTTAAGCACCCCTCAGACAGCCCCCTGAGCACGGCTCGACCTCTCGGGGTCCCCCGGGGCCCCCGAGTGTGTATGTGGAGAACGACCAGCCGAGCGCGGGGCCCCTCATTGCCTGGCCCCTCTGAGGAGGCGGCCAGGCCCTTTGACCTCCCGGCCTCCTTCGGTCTGTGGGGCCAAGGGCCTGCCGCTCGCCCTGCGCACCCACCCAGGGGTGTTCAAGAGAGGAAGACTTCCGTTCAAGATGGCGGTGTGGGCACGCATGGCTCGTCTCTTCACACAACCCCAGCAAAATTTCAGCTAAAATATAGGACCACTGTCACTCAGAAATGGCAGAAATCGAGTTGACTAGAAGTTGGACAACTACGGAGTTAAACCACATTCACCCAAACTGGCAGGAGGAGCACAGATGTGGAACAGGCTGGTCTCTCACCCACGTGTGGTGGATAAAAATTCGGGAGGGGTATCTCAGGAGGGAGGGGTCTCAGCCCCACACCAGGCCCCCCAGCCCGGGATTCCAGGGCCAGGAAGAGAAGTGTTCACGGCTTCTGGCTGCAAAAACCAGTGGGGACTGAGTCAGTGAAGAAACTGCTGGAGCCCAAGCAGTTCCTCTTAAAGAACCCACGCACAGACTCACCCACTCAGACTCCCTCCCTCTGAGCTCCAGCACCGGGGCGGCAGCTTGAAAGGCCCCAGTGGCGTGAAGGATGGAACTGAAGTGTCTGGCATCAGGGCGAGCAGCGGCCATGGTCCGTTTTCTGGGCCCTCCCCCCACAGACCTCGTAGGCTGGCGCCATGTCTGAGACTCCACCAGCCTGCCTAACACTGTTTGGCCTGCCCTGGAGATTCCCTGAGGCTCTGCCCCACCAACCTTTGGGCCCACCCACGCTGCTTTTCCATATGAATGACTGGTCTTGGCTCATGCATCACAGCTTCCCAAATCCTCTCAAACAAGCAACAGCTGGTCTCAGTGAGCCCCAGGCCAGCACTGGCAGCAGCCATCCCAGATTCACAGCTTGGCCTCACCTGGGAGTCTCCTAGCCCAGCACAAGTAGCAGCCAGCTCAGATTGCTTTATAGCTCAGGCAGGGTGGCCCTGGGAAAAGCACAGGTGGGGGCTGGCCTTGGCCTACACCACCCGGGAAACCCCAGGGGCCAGCGCACCCAGTGGACAGCTACAGACCATGTCGGAGCACCATCACCTGTCCCTGCACAGCTGATCCTCCCCGGAGGGCAGAGGTTGTGGTCAGTGGTCACAGCCAGTCCTTGCAGCTGACTGGCCTGGGTAAATCCCTCCCACTGACCTGCCAACAGCAACCAAGGCTAAACCACAAGAGGAGCGTGTACTCAGCCCACACGGAAAACACAACTTGAGTCCCCAGCTTGAGTGACAGGGGAGGCTGTGCCACTGGACCCCACAGGACACCTACTGCAGTAGACCACCCTGCCAGGACACGGAGTCAGAGCAGCTCTACTTAATACACAGAAACAAACACAGGGAGGCTGCCAAAATGAGGAGACAAACACGGCCCAAAGGAAAGAATAGGACAAAACTCCAGAAAAACTCAACAAAATGGAGACAGGCAACCTATCAGATGCAGAGTTCAAAACACCGGTGATCAGGATGCTCCAGGAACTCAGTGAGGACCTCAGCAGCATAGAAAAGACCGGGTCAGAAACGAAGGACACACCAACTGAAATAAAGAACAATTCACAGGGAAACCACAGTAAAAGGGATGAAGCCGAGAATCAGACCGGCGACCTGGAGCACAAGGAAGCAGAGAACGACCGCGCGGCGCGAAGGAGAAGGGAGAACCCGGGCGAGAACCCGGGCGCACGGCGCCCGCAGCCTCTGGGCAGCGTCAGGCCGCCCAGCGTTCCCGTCACGGGGGTGTCAGAGGGAGGCGAGAGAGAGCAAGAAACTGGACATTAATTTGAAGAAATAATAAAAGAAACCTTCCCTAGTTTGGTAAAAGAAGTGCACATGCGAGTGCAGGGAGCAGAGGGCCCCGACGAGGCCACGCAGAGACACGTTGTAATCAACCTGCCGAGGGCCCGCAGGACGGAAGGGCTGGGCGGGGGGGCTGGGGGGAGCGGGGGGCAGGGAGGGGGGTTCAGCGGCACAAGCAGGTCGTTACGGAGCGGCCGCGAGGTGTGAGGTGCAGTGCAGGGAAGGGGAGGCTGCAGGACTCACGCGAATGACCCCCGGACATGAGCCAGGGTGGGGGATGGCCTGGGGGAGGGGGCGTTCCTGGGGGAGGGGGCAAGGGGTGAAAAATCAGGACAATGGTAATGGCATAATCAATAAAATGTAATTTAAAAAATAAAAGATCACCGCTAAAAAAATAAAATAAATAAAAAAGAGGTGAAGTGGATGGGGCCCAGCTGCAGACGGCAGGGGAGGGGGGACCCAGAGCAGCACCCCCAGGAGGCAGCCTGGGGGTGCAGTGGGGCCCTGGGCATGGGGTCTCCAACTGAGCACAGACCCTGGCAGCCCCTGTGTGGGAGCAGGGCGCCACCAGCAGACCCCGGGCTGATTCAGGGGATCCACAGCCGGGGGGCCTTTGGGGTGGGGGGGACGGGGGACAGGGGACTGAGATGGGACATGCCCTGCTGCTCAAGTCCAGTTCACGAACAGAAGTTACAGAAGTGGCCCCGGCGGGTGGGGCTCAGTGGACTGAGCTCGGGCCTGAGAACCAACAAAGGGCCGCTGGTCTGATTCCCAGTCAGGGCACAGGCCTGGGCTTTGGGCCAGGTCCCCAGTAGGGGGCGCTCTCCCTCCCTTCCCCTCTCTAAAAATAAATAAAATGTTGTTTCAAAGCCGGTACTTGGCCACCGGCTCCCCACCACGCCCGCAGGCCCTGTGGGACACGGCCTCCCGGCCAGGGAGGGCCCTCGCACCCGCAGCCAGGCGTGGCTGCCCGGTGGTCCCTGGGAGCCCAGAGCAGCGGGACTGCAGAGACGGCGCGCTGAGAGCGAGGGGCGCGTGAATGGGCCAACCCCAGAGGTAGCCGGCCTCAGTTTCCCCACCTCCGAGGGGAACACCCCTTCCCAAGGGGGACACCAGGCCCCCACCTGCTCCGGGGTGCTCCCGTCGTCCGCGTACACGCGGGGGTCTGCTCCGAGCTCCAGAAGCACCTCCACAGCCTCCAGGTGGCCGCCGAAGGCGGCTCGGTACAGCGGCGTCTGGCCGAAGGCGCCCTGCGGGAGGGGTGCCCTGAGCCGGGCCGCCCCGGAGCCGCGCCTGCTGCCCGCGGCCCCCGCGCCCACCTTGCAGTTGGGGCTGGCGCCCTGCTCCGCCAGCAGCCTGATCGCCAGGGGCTGCCCGCCCGCCGCCGCCTCGGACATCGGTGTGTTCCCACGGGCGTCCTCGAACTCCAGCAGCGCCACGCGCTGCTGCCGCCGCCGCACCAGGCCCGCCTCGTCGCGGCCCACGCCCTCGCGGGTCAGCAGCTCCTCCACCTGCACCCGGGCAGGGTCACCGGCGCCCCGCTGCCCGCCCCGCCCCACCCCCACCCCCACCCCAGCGCCCCGCCCCCGCCCCGCGGACCTCCCGCAGGATGGCGGTGATCTCGCCCAGGTTGCCGTCGAAGGCCGCGTCCAGCAGGCGCGCCTGGCGCTGCCGCTCCTCCTGCCGCCGCTGCTCGGCCTTCGCCTCCTCCTCCCGCTGGCGGCGGGCCGCCTCCCGCTCCCGGCGCACCAGGGTCAGGAAGGCCTGCGGAGGACACAGCCCTGAGCGGCCAGGGTGCCGCGCCTTCACCCCGGGGCCTGCCACCACCACGGGCCGGGGGCGCGGGCTCCGGGGGCCCGCACCTCCCGCTGCAGCCGCTCCATCTGCTCCAGGTACTCCTGGCGCTCCGCGCGGCGGCGGGCCAGCTCGGCCCTCGCCCGGAGCCGCCGGAAGGCGCACTGGATGACAGTGGCCGCCTGGTCCTCCGCGGTGGGCCCTGGGCGGGGAGAGGGCGCCTAGACCCGGGCTCCCGTCCAGGCCGCTGCTGGGCTCCCGCGCCGGGTGTGTGAGCGGCGGGCCCCGCCCACCAGACCCGACCGAGGCGCGAAGGTCCCAGCCCCGCAGGCCCGGCCCGGACAACCCGGCCACCGCGGGCAGGGAGCGGAGGAGCAGGGGGGAGGAGGCCCCGGGAACGAACGGGGAGGCTCCGGGTCTCCGCAGGAAGCCCCCCGACGCAGCTGGGACCCCCCCCCCCAGCCCCCTGAGCTGCACCCCCGCCCCTCCCGGGGAAAGACACGCTGCAGACACGGGCGGGACACCCAGGAAGGCCGAGGCAGGGAAGCCGCCGTGGAGCCCACGGGACCCGCGCCCGGGAAGCGCTGCGGCAACGCCCCCGAGGCTGGGTGGCCCACAGGGCGGGGCCGGGGACTCAGCCACCAGCCGACAGGCGCGGGAGAGGGAGCCCCCGCGGGGGCGCCACCCCGCAGCTCGCAGGGCAGCCCGGCCACCTGAGTGCGGCCCGCCCCAGGAGAGGGCTGAGGGGCCGCTGGGCCTGGCCTGGGCCACGGGAGGGGGGTTCAGGTGACGACGGCGCCCGGGGAGCCCCGTGGAGGCCGTGTCAGGAAGACAGGCCCGGGGCTGAGGCCGGGGGAGGGGGAGAGCGAGCGGCCCTGGGCACCACGCCCCCTTTTCCCGGGAAGGCCGCCAAGGCCGCCTCCCGCCACAGGGGGGCGACAGTGCTCCGGGTGGGAGCCGGGCCGGCCCCCGAGCCCGGGGAGCGGGAGGCTGAGGGGACGGGATTCCGAGTGAGGCTGCCCCCCACCCCCCGCCCACCCCCTGCCGGCCGCCCAGCCCAGCCCCCCCGCCCGCGGGAAAGCAGGTGCTGGGGAGGTGGGAGCAGAGAGGACGGGGCTCCCCGCTTGTTCCCGGGAGGGGCACGCTGCTCTGTGTGTGCAACAGGCTCGTCCCCCCAGCACATTCACACGCATGCTCGTCTGCACGCGCACGCACGCTCCCCCAGACGTTCACTCACGCACACCCTGCAAGACCGGCCTGGGGGGCGGCCTGCTTCCCCGCAGCCAGCCCCGAGCCCTCCCCACCCCCCGCTGGCTGCGGAGCGGGGGCGGGGCGCGGCTCTCACCTGCAGGGGCCTCTGGGCACTCCGGGGACGCGGGCCCCAGCACCCGCGGGCCAGTCTTCCCCGGCAGCTGCTGGAGGCTCTCTCCCGGCCTCGCTGGGGGTGCGAAGCGTCAGTGAGGTCAGCGTGTGCGCCCATCCCCCCATCGACCTCAGGAGGCATCTACGGTCGCCCGTGGGGCCCCTGCTGCGTCCCAGCTGTTAGGGCGCGTCCACCCCCCCACACACACAGCTTTAACGAGCGGCCAGGCTGCGTCCCACACGGCACGCACAGGGCACACACGTGTGGCAGGGGTGGCAGAGCCCTCGGCACCAGAAGGCAGCGCCGCCCTGCAGCCCCCGGGGCTGGGGGGCCCAGGTGTGCCGAGGTCTCGGGCGGGCGCCCCGCTGCTGGCCCTCGGCACCCTCCTCCCTTTCTGTGCGTCCACCCTGTGCCCGGCCGGAGTCCCAGCTGGCCTCCCCCCATCCCCAGCCTCGGGGCAAAGGCTGAGCCCGGGGCGCAGGCAGGGCCAGGCCGGGCCGGGTGAACCGGTCCAGCCAGTGGGGCAGAGCCGGCAGGCGGGCCTGGGCGTGGGTGTGAGTCAGCGGCCTGGCTGGGGAAGCGCTGGGGCGGAAGCCGTCCGGAGCCTCCCTCGCAGCCGGAAGCCCAGGGGACGCTGGCTCTCAGGCTGGCCCTGTGTCCCCCACGCTCAAAGGCTGGCTGTGGGGGGCTCCTCAGGACTCTAGCCCCAGGGGCACAGCAGCCGGACCCCCAAGCTGGGCGACCTTCAGGGCCCCTGCGGCCCCACCTCAGTCCCCAGACCCCAGGGCGGGCGAGCCCCCGGGGCCCCCAGGCTGGGCCGGAGGCTCCGTCCTCCCCGCTGGGCTGTGCTCCCAGCGCGGGGCTGCCCTGCCCGGCTGGCCTGGGGCTGCTGCTCCGTGGGGCCCTGTGCCAGTCCCGGGCCCCAGGGGGTCGGATGGCCTGCGGCCACGGAGGGCCCCGTCAGGATGGCCAGTGCGGGCAGGGGTGCAGCTCCTGGCCCGGGGGCTGGTGTCTGAGCCCTGAGACCAGGGACGGGAGGGGGTGGGGTGCCCGCCCAGGGCAGGACGGGACTCGCCCTGCGCCCTGCGCACAGCGGCGGTCTGGCGGCGAGCGTCACCTCCTCCAGCTCTCCCGTCTCCCTCCCCGTCTGGCCGGCGAGGCCCGTGGCCCATAACGTCCTGTGCCCTGTGTCAGCACGTTAGTCAGCCTCCGCCGGGCGAGCCGCCGCCGCCAGGTCCCTATAAACTCCGCGGCGTGGCCGGGCCCGCCGAGTTGGCCCGCGAGGCCCACAGGCAGAGCCAGGGCCAGAGTCACGGCGCCGTGGGCACCGGCTGAGGGGCAGGGCAGGCACGAGGGACAGCGGCGGCTGAGGGCCCACCGTGGCCTTCGGGGCCGCCCTCTGGGCCCCGGGAGCAGACACCGACCCGGGCCATGTCTGGGAAGCGGAGCCGAGCTCGCAGAGCCCGAGCCAGGAGGGCGGGCAGGGCCCAGCAGGCCGCAGGGCAGCGGGGCCCTGAGGCCAAGCCCCCTCCCTCCCACGCAGAGGGCCCTCAGGATGAGACGGGGGTGGCCCCTGTGGGGCACGTGACCAGCAGCAAGCCAGCTCCCCGGGGACACCCCAGGGCGGCCAGGCCAGAGCAGCCACAGGCAGCAGAGAGGCCAGTGCCGGCCGCTGCTCCGGGGTCCCAGCTCGCGCTCGTCCCTGCTGTGGACATGGAAGGCTGCCGGGTCAGGGGCCTCATGCCCAACTCGGGCCCCGGGCTGCTGAGGCCCCACGAGGTCCCGCTGTGCCTGGCCCGGGAGCAGCTGCTGCTGGAGGACCGGCGACGGCAGGTCCAGCTGCAGATGCAGCTGTGGCAGGAGGAGCAGCTGTGGCTGCAGCAGCTACAGGAGGAGCAGCTGTGGCGGGAGCAGTTGTGGCAGGAGGAGCAGCTGTGGCTGCAGCAGCTGCAGGAGGAGCAGGCCTGGGTGCGCATGGAGGGGCTGGAGCTGGCCATGGCCCTGGAGCGACTCCGGAGCGAGGGCCTTGAGGCGCTGCCGGCCCAAGGCCAGGTAAGGCCTGGGGGGCCTGGGCTGGCAGAGGCTCCGACAGGCTGGGGGTGTGGTGACCACGTGAGCAACCTAGAGGTGCCTGCAGGGGCCCGGGAGGCAGGCTGGCCCCGGGACAGCTGTGGGCCCTCATCACCGCTGCCCAGTGAGGCTGGTGCTGCACAGGGCGCTGCGGGGACCACGCGGCAGCCTGCCTTCCCAGGCCGGGCCGGCCGGCCACGGGCACTGGGACGGGGCGCCAGCTCGGGGAAACTGAGGCGGAGGTGTTCCTGCAGAGGCCCCGGGCGTCCTGACCAGGTGCAGTCCGGGGCAGCCCTGGGCGGACAGGGTGGTGGCCTGGGGGGCAGGCCCCCAGCTCGGCGTCCCGGCGCACCTGCTCATCCTGTTTGTTACAGCGCGTGCTCCGGGCTCGACCGCGGAAGCAGCCGGCGGCGCCCGGGCCGCATCCTCGTTCCCGGAGGGGACGCGGCTGGGGCTGTTTGAGGGAAGGCAGGTCTCGCCCCGGCTTGGCAGGAGACCAGTCACCGCCATCCAGCTGGGTCCTATGACCTTGGAGCCCTCTGGGGTCCCAGGCCTTCGGCAGGCCCGCCCCGAGCAGAGGGGCTACCCCTGGGGGACAGGGTGGGCTCCCTCAGCAAGCACAGACCCCCCACGCAGGCCTGGGTGCTTGAGGAGCCCGGAGCCGCCGCCTGGAAGGGGCTGGCAGCTCAGCGAAAGCTTCCACGAGGACCGTGACAGAGAAAAGTGGGGCTCGGAGAAGGGGAGCGACGACCAGGGGCAGGGGCACGGCAGAGGGCGCCCTCCTGACCCGCAGCAGGCCTGAGCCACGGACCGGCTGTCACCGTCCGGGCTGGAAGCGGCTGTGGAGAGGGTGACCTGAGGGCAGCAGCAGGCCTGGGGGGGGGGGGCGGGGGGGGAGGCCCGGAGGAGCAGAGGGTCAGGGTGGGCCTCGTCCTCAGCCGGACAAAATCCCCACGTGGAGCCAGGCCCCGCCCCCACTGTGCACAAGGCTGTGCCCCTCTGAACACTGGCCCGGGGCCCCCACCCCCAGCCCCAGGGCCTGCAGCGCACGGCTGAGCTCCGAGTCCCCAGGGCACCGTACCCACGCCTGACTCAGAGGAGGGGGGTCTTCTCCGGGGAGGGGTGGGTCTCACAAGTTAGAGTCTGCGTGGGTGCCCGGGGGTCGGAAGGGCCCCTCACTCACCCGCAGTGGCTCTGCGCTGGGCCCCCGCGGTGGGTGGCCGCCGCTTCCCTGAGGCCACTTTAGACCCCCCCTTCTTACTGCTCATGCTCCTGGAGGGCGGTGGGAAGTGGAGGGAGGGTGGGCTCAGGGTGGAAGGGGCCACGGGGACAGCACCACACACAGGCCCGGCCTGGTGGACAGTCAGCAGGTGCCAGGCGGGAATGCGGGGCCACGGGCACCCCGACACAGCCCTGCGCCGGCTCCCCGGCCCCCGGCCCGCCCCCAGGGGCGCGTGCGGCGACAGCGTGCGGGGGAACGCGGGGCAAGAGCACCCGGCCACAGCTCGCCCCCCTCCCCCTCCATCGCCTGCCCCCCCCCCGCACCCCTGGCTTGCCCACGCCCTGGTTCCAGGTCCTGGCCGTACCCCCAGGGCCGGTGTCCTGTGTCCATCTCCCTGCCCCAAAGCACCGGCGGCTGGCCAGCCAGCTGTGTGCTGCCGCGCACGCCGGAGCCCAGCCCCATGCCACGGGCCCCTGTGCGCCCCCCCCCCCCAGGCCTTCTTCGGTCTCTGCTTTGGGGTCAGCCACGCAGACTAGGGGGGGGTGTCCTCAGGACCTGGAAGCCACCCCTCCCCCCTAGTGTGCTTGGCTGTCCCCAAAGTCCCCGCCCCTGGGAGATCTCCCCTACCCCAGGCCGGGTCGGGCCCCCTCACCTCCCCCATTGCCGGGCGCCCCACGGCAGCACCGTTGCCCGGCCGCGGTCTGACCCCGGGCCGGGTCTCTACCGCGGTGGCCCCGGTGGAGGGCTGCTGAGTGCTTGTGACGGAAGGACCCTGAAAACGGGGCAAGCAGGGCAGGCTGTGCGTGGGCCCCGTCCTCGCAGTCAGGGTCCCCGGGGGCTGGGGGACTCTCGGTGTTCCCGTGGGGTCTCCCGCGTGTGCAGGGACCGAGCGGAGGCCAGTGCGCGAGGGTCCCCGTGTGTGTGTGCACGCCGGGGTGTGCCTGGTGACAGCGCGTGCGGGGCCTGGCGTGCACGGAGGGCCCCGCACGTGTGCGTGGGCTGCTGTGTGCTGGGGGGTCCCGCGCACGTGGCAGAAGGGCTGGAGTGTGGGGGGCCGGTGGGTGTGGGGTCCCACTCCTGTGCTGACAGGGGTGCGCAGCCTCTGCGAGTGGGCCTGGGGGTGCCTGTGGGGGGCCGGCGAGTGCGTGGGCGTTGGTGTAGATGTGGGGTCCGTCTTTGTGGAAAGGTTTCCGCCGTCGGCAAGGCTCCCCTACAGGCGTGGGCATCAGTGTGGGGGGTGTGCACAGGTTCCCTGAAAACCCACAGGGTCCCGGTTACTCGCGGGCATCAGTGTGTGCGGGGAGTCCTCTGAGTCTGCACCAGAATGGGGGGCGTCCCGAGTGGTAGGGGGGTTCCCAGTGCTCGCAGGGTGCGCAGGCCCAGCCGCGCCCCCAGCTGGGCGCCGTCTGGCAGCCTCACCTGCCTCACCTGCCTCCATAGCTCCTGGGCTAGACCAGAAGCTCCGCCCCTCGCGTCCGGCTGGCCCGTTTCCTAGCGACTGAACCGGAACTTGCCATTGACCTCGACTTCCGGGGCGAGGGTTAGGGGTCGGGCGCAGGGACCTCCAGTCTTCGGTGAACAGATGGGGGCTCGGGACTCCGGAGGTCTCCGAGCGCGCCCGGCGGGGGTGCCAGGGCGCGCCGCTGGGGCGCACGTTGGGGCCGGGGGCGCAGTCGCGGCCCTGGGTCTCCGGGGCGGCGGCGAAGGGCGGGCGCAGGAATGCAGGCGCGCCGCGGGTGGGGCCGCCCCGCCCCCAGGTGCTGCCCGGGCAGGCCGGCGGCGGGAGCGGGCGGGGCGGGGGCGGGCTCGTGAATCAGGCCGCGCGGCGGGCGGGCCGCGGCAGGGAGTGGCCGCCGGACCGACCGGACCGCGAGGCCGCTGGGCGGCGGTCGGCTCCTGCTGTCCTTTTCTTGAGACCCCGCGCACCTGGCCAGGTAAGCCCCCTCCCCTGGCTGGGACGGGGCGGGGCGCGCGGGACCGGGAGGCCGCGGCCGGATTGGTGGAGTGGATCGGGGTCGACGCGCGGTGCCCCCCAAGGCGGCCCTCCGGCCGGCACCTGTGCCGGGGCCGCTCCTGAGCCCGGCGGTGGGATTCGACAGCGGCTGCGTGTGCGGGACCTGGACGGGCGGGGCTGGGGGTTAGCGCCGCGGCCGCGTGAGCCGACCTGGAGGCGAGCCCCCTCGCACGTAGCCGGGCCTGGAAGAGCCGGGTGGGCAGGAGCCCGGGGCACGTCGGCCGGAGCGGAACTGACTCTCTCCGCCCCTGCGGCCTAGCTGCCGTGGGGGGAGAGTGTCGGGCCCGGCCCGGACCCTTCCCCGGGGGCGCCCCGCCCAGGCCGCCATGAGAGCTGGGGCTCCGTCTGGTTCCCTACCTGTAGTCCAGGGAGGGCCCACGGCCCGTTCTCTCGCGCGCGCACGTCCCTGGGCTGGGGCCGGTGAAGGGAACACGGCGCCGGGCAGCCGACGACTGCCTGGGTGGCGCTGACTCCCTGCGGTGCGCACCCCGAAAACTGCAGCACTGCAGGCCGCTCGCCCATCCGGCGAATCCCTCCCCGTCCACCTCCGGGTCCGAATGTCCCCCAGTTCTTCCCTCAGGGACCCTCCTCCTGCCCCCCTCACCCCGCCATACTCGACTCCGGGTCCCCGCCCTCCCTACTGCTGCGAGGAAAAAATCAGACCCACGATCTGGAAGTCCCCGAGGGCCTGGGACACTTTGTCAGGCTGGGGTCAGAGGTCGGAGGTCAGCACCAGGCAACGGGCTCCTGCTGAGTCACCGCCCAGGGTGGGAGAAGAGCCTGCCCTGCCTGAGGGCAGGTGCGGGCAGGCCAGCGTGCGTGCGGCGAGGCCGGCCGCTCTGGGCTGGGGTGTGGCCGCTTTCCAGACCACAGTTTGGGGGTGCCGACCCCCAAAAGGAGACAGGCGAAGGAGAGGGCACTGAGGTCGTGGTGCTGCTGGGTGAGGCCGGTGGGGCCGCCTTCCAACCAGTCCTGTCTGATGTGCAGGCTCTTCACCCGCCACGGGCCCCCGGACCCCCCGAGTGTGCGACCTGGGCACTTCGGGCTGGGCCTCTCCCCAGTGAGGTCAGAGGGGCAGTGCGCCTTCGAGAGACAGCAGTGTCCCAGCAGGTTTCCCCGGGGCCAGGTGGCAGCTCTGCCCAGTGGCACCCAGGTGTCCCCCACTTCCCATCCCCAGGGGAAGGGGCCTGGAGGGTTCCCCAGGTCACTGCACACGGCCCCGCCCCGACCCCTCTGGTCAGCCTGGCCCAGCTGCGTGCGGAGAGGGGCACGTCCCCCGGCTGGGCAACGTGCAGGAGCAGGAGGGGTGGGGCTCCTGGGGCAGGAGGGCAGGCGTCCACGTGCTCACAGGACACGTGTGGACAGGCCCCGGGAGCTGAGGCGAGGCCCCCGTCGGGCCGGCAGGGCTGTGAAGGCCGAGGGGCGGGTGGAGAGGCTCGCTGGGGGCCCTGGACGGCCCGGCGGCCGCGGCAGAGGGCCCCGGCTCCACGCGGAAAGCAGCGGGAGCGCAGGGCGGTGACCAGGAGGCTCGAAGAGACGTTGCCACACAGGCCTGGGCTCGGCTGGGACCTGGGACGGGGCTCTGAGCTCACAGGGGAGGAGGCGGCAGCTCCGGCCTGCAGGGGTGGGGAGGGGCCCGTGGGGAGGGTCCTGCCTCCTGGGGCTCGGAGTGAGACCGCGTGGGGTGGGTGCAGGGGTGGCCAGGGCCCGGGGACGGGGCTCAACCTGCCCCCCGGCCAGAGGAAGGTAGTGACGAGCTCTGTACTGAGCGCACCTTGGGCCAGGTGTGCCGTCGGGGCAGCCCTGCCAGCCGCAGGCTGCGGTGAAGGCGGGGAGCCGGGGAGGCGGGGTGCGTGGCCCGGGCGCCTCCTCAGGGCTGGACAGGCAGCGGGCCACTCCGCCTGTCCGGCCCACACAGTGCCAGGAGCCCACAGGAAGTCATCGTCATAAAATCAGAAGAGAAACGTGACCGTCATAATAAAGAAGCCAGCCTGGATTATGTTTTCACTATGCCAACAGTCATACTGGGGAGGGGGGGGGGGTGCCCTAGAGCAGAAGCGCGTGCCCTGAGTGGGGCTTGGGTGGAGCCAGAGCCCTGGAGACAGGACTCGGCTGAGGTCGCCCAGCTGGGGGGCACCCTGGGGTACGGTGTGCCCTAAAGGCCCCCGGGCCTGGGCGGGTCTCCAAGGTCACTGACAGCCTCTCCGCAGTGTGTCCCCGCGTGAATGGGGGGGGGCGGGGGGAGTGGGCGCAGGGCCGCCGCCCTGGTAATGTGTCTCCCTGCCACCCCCCCCCCCCCAGGCCCCGGGCCCCAACATGGCCCGCCGCTCCCAGAGCTCCTCGCAGGGGGACAACCCGCTGGCGCCCGGGTACCTGCCGCCTCACTACAAAGAGTACTACCGGCTGGCAGTGGACGCGCTGGCCGAGGGCGGGCCGGAGGCCTACAGCCGCTTCCTGGCGGCGGAGGGCGCGCCTGCCTTCCTGTGTCCCGAGGAACTGGACCACGTGACCCGCCACCTGCAGCCCCCACAGCACGTCACCCACGACCCCCCTGAAGGCAGCCCTCCCAACGTGGACATGGATGGCTCCTCGGGCACCTACTGGCCCATGAACTCTGACCAGGCAGTGCCTGAGCTTGACCTGGGCTGGCCCCTGACCTTCGGCTTCCAGGGCACTGAGGTCACGACGCTGGTGCAGCCGCCGCCACCCGACAGCCCCAGCATCAAGGACGAGGCCCGAAGGATGATCCGCTCCGCCCAGCAGGTGCGCTGCCCTGGGCCCGGCGGGCAGTGGGAGATGGCCTGAGCGGGACCTGGGCGCACGCAGAGTGGGGGCGGTGCGAGGCAAGATGAGAGTGTGCAGGCTTAGGGGCCGGGGCGGGGCAGCTGCAGCAAGGGCTCCCTGGCTGGCTTCCGGGGTCACCAAGGGTCTCCTTAAGACAGGCTCCGGGCTGCCTTCTCCGCACAGGTTTGCTTGCTGGCGGTGGTGGTCGTCAGCGCTCAGTAGCTCAGAGGCTCCTGGGTGGGCAGGCTCCCAGCTGGGATTCGGTGTTCACGGGGTCGTCTCTTCTCCACCCGGCTGAGCGCTGCTTACGCCCACGGGTCCGCTGGCCAGCAGCAAAGGGGCCGTCACACCACGTAGACAGGCCACAGGTCCAGACGCTAAAGACCACTGTCTTGTCCCCAGGGTTGGGGGGATTGCAGGCCTTTCTCTCGTCTGGCCTTGGCCCCAGCTGAAGGGCAGCCCTGCACCGACAGGGGGCCGGCCTTGTGCCTGCCTCGGGCTCCGCGTGGGCCACCTGCCCCTTTCCCGACGGGCCCCACCTTCCCTTGTGTGTGTGTGGGGGGAGGGCTAGTGGCGGTCCTGTAGTTGGTGGACGATCCAGAGTTACGGCTGGAGAACCGTGGGGCAGCAGAGGTTTCTGCCCTCGGGCGCCGACCCGACCCCGCAGGTGGTGGCCGTGGTGATGGACATGTTCACCGACGTGGACCTGCTCAGCGAAGTGCTGGAGGCCGCCGCGCGCCGCGTCCCCGTCTACATCCTCCTGGACGAGATGAACGCACAGCACTTCCTGGACATGGCCGACAAGTGCCGCGTCAACCTGCACCACGTGGACGTGAGTGGCGGGCGGGGGTGGGGTGTGCGGGGAAGGGAGGAGGACCCCCTCGACACGCCCGACGCCTCTCTCCCCAGTTTCTGCGCGTGCGCACTGTGGCAGGCCCCACCTACTACTGCCGCACCGGGAAGTCCTTCAAGGGCAACGTAAAGGAGAAGTTCCTCCTGGTGGACTGTGCCGTGGTGATGAGTGGCAGCTACAGGTGCGCGCAGCCCCCACAGCCCCGACAGCTCCCCGCCCAAAGGCCTCCCCTCCCGAGCCCCTTCTGTCCTCTGGCCCCGCCCCGCCCGCTTCCTGGCAGCCTGCTGGGCCCCGCCCCTGGCTCTGGCCCCGCCCCCACCTCTGACTCCGGCCCCGCCCCCGCCTCTGACTCCGGCCCCGCCCCCGGCTCTGGCCCCGCCCCCACCTCTGACTCCGGCCCCGCCCCCGCCTCTGACTCCGGCCCCGCCTCTGACTCCGGCCCCGCCCCGCCCCCCCAGCTTCATGTGGTCCTTCGAGAAGATCCACCGCAGCCTGGCGCACGTGTTCCAGGGTGAGCTGGTGTCCAGCTTCGATGAGGAGTTCCGCATCCTCTTCGCGCAGTCTGAGCCGCTGGTGCCCACGGCCGGGGCGCTGGCCCGCATGGACGCTTACGCCCTGGCGCCGTACTCGGGGGCCGGGCCCCTCGTGGGCGGCCCGGGGACCGGGGCGCCCACCCCTTTCTCCTTCCCCAAGCGAGCGCATCTTCTGTTCCCGCCGCCCAGGGAAGAGGGCCTGGGCTTCCCCTCCTTCCTAGACCCTGACCGCCACTTCCTGTCTGCCTTCCGCCGGGAGGACCCGCTGCGGATGCCCGGCGGGGTGCCGGGCGGCGCCCTGGAGCCACACGCGGGGCTGCGGCCACAGCCACGACGGTGGGACGCGGAGGCCGGGCCAGGGGCGGAGCTCGCAGGCCCGCGGGGCTTCTTCCAGGCGCGGCACCTGGAGATGGACTCCTTCAAGCGGCACAGCTACGCGGCCGCTGACGGCAGCGCGGGCGCCGTGGAGAACTTCGCGGCCGCGCGGCAGGTGTCACGACAGACGTTCCTCAGCCACGGCGACGACTTCCGCTTCCAGACCAGCCACTTCCACCGCGACCAGCTCTACCAGCAGCATTACCAGTGGGACCCGCAGTCGGCGCCCATGCGCCCGCAGGGCCTGTTCGAGAAGCTTCGCGTTGGCCGCCCGGGCTTTGCGGATCCCGAGGACTTGGCTTTGGGCGCCGGGCCGCGCTTCCCCGAGCTCGGCCTGGATGGGCACCAGCGGCTGGACTACGTGCCATCGAGCGAGTCGCGTGAGGTGCGCCACGGTTCGGACCCGGCCTTCGGGGTCGGACCCCGCGGCCTGGAACTCGGTGGGGCCCCACGCCCCAACCTGGGCCAGCGCTTCCCCTGCCAGGCAACAGCAAGGCTGGGCCCTGACACTGGGCCGGAGGCAGAGCCCGAGCGCAGGGTCGGGCCGGAGGGGCGGGCAGGGCTAAGGCACTGGCGCCTCGCCTCCTACCTGAGCGGCTGCCATGGGGACGACGCCGGCACGGAGGGCCTGCCGGCGCCCATGGAGACCGAGGCCTACGAAGACGACGTGCTGGCTTCTCCCGGGGGTAGGGCGGCCGCCGGGGACCTGCTTCCCTCGGCCTTCAGAGCGCCCGTGCCCTTCACGGCCAAGGGCCCGGCGTATGGCCCTGGCAGCGGCGGCGGCGAGGGCCCGGAGCGCGAGGGCCTGGAGGAGGCGGGCCTGGCCAAGCAGGACTCGTTCCGCTCGCGCCTGAACCCGCTGATCCAGCGCAGCTCCCGACTCCGCTCCTCGCTCATCTTCGCGGCGCAGGCTGAGGGCGCCAGCGGGGCCGCGGGGGCCACCACCGAAAAGGTGCAGGTGCTGCACAAGGAGCAGGCGGTCAGCGAGACTCTGGGCCCTGGGGGCGAGGCCGTGCGCTCTGCCGCCTCCACCAAGGTGGCCGAGCTCCTGGAGAAATACAAGGGCCCCGCTCGCGACCCTGGCGCCGCAGGGGCTGTGGTCACTGCTGCCAGCCACAGCAAGGCCGTCGTGTCCCAGGCGTGGCGGGAGGAGGTGGCGGCGGGAGGAGGCGGGCCCGGGGGTGCGGGGAGCGAGCGGCGCAGCCTGGAGAGCTGCCTGCTGGACCTCCGCGACTCCTTCGCGCAGCAGCTGCACCAGGAAGCCGAGCGGCAGCCAGGAGCGGCCGCCCTCACGGCCTCCCAGCTGCTCGACACGCTGGGCCGCGGCGGCACCAACAGGCTGCCCTCCCGGTCCCTCCTGGGCCAGCCCCAAGGCCTGTCCACCTCCCCGCAAGGGCGGGACAGTCCCCCTGTGGAAGCGCCGCACCCCGAGCCGAAAGGGAACCCCGCCTCGGCCTACACAGAGCAGAGGGGCAGCCCCACGCCCGGGTTCTCTGCTCACAGGGGCAGCCCGACCGCAGGGTTCACCGCTGAGCCGAAGGGGAGCCCCACCTCAGCCTACCCCGAGCGCAGGGGCAGCCCTGTCCCTGCCTTGCCGGAGCGCAGGGGCAGTCCGGTGCCCCCCGTGCCCGAGCGCAGGGGAAGCCCCGTGCCCGCGGTGCCGGAGCGCAGGAGCAGCCTCACTGCTGCCGTCTCCGGAGAGTCCCCGAAGACCGGCTCCGCGGAGGAAGCGCCCACCGGCCCCATGGAGGTCCTGCGCAAGGGCTCCCTGCGCCTCCGGCAGCTGCTGAACCCCAAGAGTGAGCGGCGCTCGGAGGACGAGGGCGGCTCCCCGGTGCCGCAGGAGAACGGGCGGCCCGAGAGCCCCCGGCGGCCGTCGCTGAGCCGGGGCGACAGCACGGAAGCCGGCCCTGGGGAGGAGCGGGGCCCCCGGGTGCGCACGGCCTCCGCCACGGCCAACGCCTTGTACAGCAGCAACCTGCGGGACGACACGAAGGCCATCCTGGAGCAGATCAGCGCGCACAGCCAGAAGCACCGCGGCGCGCCCGCGCCCGCCCCCACCCCCGCCCACAGCAGCCCTGAGCTGGACCGGCCGCCGGCCGCGGGCGGCCTGGCCCCCGACATGTCCGACAAGGACAAGTGCTCGGCCATCTTCCGCTCCGACAGCCTGGGGGCCCAGGGCCGGCTCAGCCGCACGCTGCCGGCCAGCATGGAGGAGCGCGACCGGCTGCTGCGCCGCATGGAGAGCATGCGCAAGGAGAAGCGCGTCTACAGTCGCTTCGAGGTCTTCTGCAAGAAGGAGGAGGCCGGCAGCGGGGGCGGGGACGGCCCGGCGGAGGAGGATGCCAGGGACAGCAAGGTGGGCAAGTTCATGCCCAAGATCCTGGGGACGTTCAAAAGCAAGAAGTGAGTCTCCTGGCCCGCCGCCCCCGGCCGGGGAGCCGCGTGGCTGCCTCTGGCCAGGCAGAGCACCCGGCCCTCGGCCCAGGCGTTGGGCGCCTGGCTGAGCACAGCTCAGCCGGCCCCGGCGCATGCCCTGCCTCTTACCTCTGCCCTCCCGTTTGGGGGGCCGCAGCCGCTCGCTGCCCCGGTGCCTTACTCCCCCCCAGTTCTCCCTCTCAGCACCCTGCTCTCCAGGCCCCGCCTCCCTCTGCGGCATCTGCCTCCAGCCTCTCTCTGGGTTTCAGGCCCCCTTTGGGCCTTCACTCACCTCAGGGACCCACCTCTCCGTGCCTTGGTCCCCGGCTCTCGGGGGCCTGTGTCTCAGGGCTTCTGTGTCTCGGGGCCGCCCCTGCCCAGGGCCTCCTGGCTGCACTGCGGCTGCACTCTGCTGGCCCACCTCAGGGCCCACGGCCACTATCTCGGGCAGCTCGGGGCTTCCTGCCCTGGCCATCTGCCTCCTGACCCCTTTCTCGGTGGCCCATCCTTTTGCTGTGGGGAGGCAGAGTACCCTGGAAGGGCTGCCCCGCCCCCGGGGAGGACCCGAAGCAGAACTGACCGCCCCCCACACTGGCCCCCGCAAGGCTCCCGGCCAGGAGTGACAGCACCCAGCCTCAGGGGCGGGTGACGTGGGGCCTCGGCCCCGTGAAGGGCCCCGCACACCCTGGCAGGCGGGCGGGCTGGGTGTGGCGTGCTCGGACTTGAGCCGGTGAGGTGGAGGCAGAGGACTCGGCCTGGTGGCAGCTGAGTGCCAGCCCACCGGTCCCAGGGGTCCTGCCCGGTGCCCAGTGCCCTTGCCCTGCGGGTGCCCTGCCCTGCGCTCTCTGTCCCACAGCCTTTCCTCGTTGTCACCAGCCCGCAAACTCTGACCTGCGCCCCGCCCCCTTACCTCTCTCGGATCTTCCTCAACATCAGAGAGTGTAATTGTAATTTGAAATGACACATTTTGGCACCCAATGCTTAGAAAGTCTCCCCACTGTAGGTGCTACAATTGTGAAACGAGTGTTTCTATTTTTTTAAAATAGCTTTTTAAATTGTAGGTGCAAGAACCCCGATCACTCTAGGGAAACGGGTGTGAGGAGCGAGGGGGCTGGGAGGAGGCGGCAGGTCCAACTCGGGGGCACACGTCCACCCCGGCAGCTCGCAGTCCGGTCACCGAAGCCACCTTCCTGGTGGGGGGACAGCGGGGACCTTTGTCCAGGTGGCAAAGGTCATGGAGAGCCCAATGAGCTGGAATTGGATGGCAAACATTCCCGTGCAGCCAGATGGGGGCGGCGCCCGTGGGGGGAGTGGAGCCTTCTGGTCGCCAGAGACGGCGGGCTGGGGGTCCCCGGGTCCCCCCCACGCCCCGCCCTCATGTCCTCGAGTCCCACTGAGTAACACGCGGCTCCTCAAATGTGATTCTGAACGTTGTGGTGTTAATAAAACACAAGACAAAATATCCCAACACATTCCCAGATATGCGTCATCTATACCCACCCCACGATATGCCGCAACCTCCAGCCTCACGCATCAGCACCGGGTGTCCCCCAGGCCGCCCTGGGCGCTGGGGGCTCCTGGGGAGGGGGGTGGTGGGACCTCAGGGGGTGGCTTCTGGGGACAAAAGACAGTCATGCGGGCTGGGGACAGACTTGACTCCATCGGAGGAGGTAACGGGCCGCAGTGGGGACCTCATTTTCCCTAAAAAGGAACCAACTGACTTCCAGGGACCCAAGGCGGTGAAGCAGAGCCGGGTCGGGACTTGGGGGATACATCCGCTGACTGAGGGGGCGGGGCGGGGGCACATCCTGGGACTCCGGGCTGGGCGGCGGGCGCAGGAACCCCGCGGGGCTGGGCAGCAGGCAGGGTCGCGGCTCACGCGTGGGGTCCCGGGAGCAGGGGCAGGCGGTCCAGCGCCGAGTGGCAGACGGTGCCATAGGCTTGCGAGTAGCCCCCGAGCGCGGCCCGCGCGGCCCCCTGGACCCCCTGCGAGGCCGAGGCTCCGAACATCTTCCGGCCGGGACGGGGCTCGGGCCGGCCTTCCCCGGGACGCGGGAGCGAGACCTGCACGCAGTCGGGGGTCCTCGTGAGCGCGCGCCGCGGGGCGGAGCGGAGGCGGGAGGGGAGGAGCCCGGCGGGAGGGGCCCCGGGTCCGAGAGGGGCGCAAAGTCGCGGTAGGACGCGCGGGCTGGAGGGGGCGCGCTCACCTGTCCCACGCCGGCCGGCCTCGCCCCACGGCCTCGGTCCGGGTCGCTCCGCATCAGGGCCTGGATGGCCACCTGGGCGTTGGCCTGCGAGGTCAGGGAGGGCGCCGCCTCCTGCGCGCGGGGCTTCACCTGGGAAGCACGCAGCCGAAGGTCACCGCCGGCCCGCGGTGCCGGGGCCCCGGGAAAAGCACTGTGTGTCGCGCGGGGCGGGGGGCGTTCTCCGGGGCCCACCACTGCACGACCTACCCACGGGGGTGCTGAGGGGGACTCCGCCGTCGCCCCGGGGCGCCTCGCCCCTCTTCCCGGACCTCCTGGGGACGGAGGCTGAAGCAGGGGAGCCGAGCTCTGCCTGGGAACATTCTGGGCTCCGCGGGGCTCGTCTGTGGGGCCGGCAGATCAGTCCCCGGGCCCGGAGCCTGGGCCGTGGGCGGCGCGCGGCCCCACAACGAGGGGCGGGCTGCTCGGGTCACACACCGGGCACGGGGCGGGGGCCCTGCTGAGCGCTGTGTCCGAGGTCGCCGGAGGGCGGCTGGGGGGCGGCTGCGCATCTGGGGGCGCACGCCTGGGACAGCGGGTCGCTGGGCTCTGTCCCCCGGGGCGTGCCCCCCAGGCCCTGCTCGGTGGGGTCGCGGCTGTCGCCCCTGCGCTCCAGGACCATCTGTGGGAGGGGAAAGCGCTCAGAGCGGCGCGGCTCGAGCGCCACTGAGGCTGGGGAAGGCCTGGAGGGGCGTGGGGACGGGGGACGGGGGTCACAGAGCGCGGCACCTGGTAGAGGCGGCTGCGGTACTCGGCGGCCGTGAGCTGGGCTCCCTCGGGCACCGGGAGCCGAACCTGCGCCTCCAGCGACCACTCCCGGGCGGGGCAGTGGAACCTGCGGGGAGCCCCCGGGTGGGCACGCTGACGCCAGGCCCAGGTCAAGCGAACCTCTCCCAGGGGCCCGGGCCGGGCAGTGGGGGCTCTGCCGCCCCTACCTCCGCACATAGGGGTGCTGCAGCGCCTGGGCCGCGGTGAGCCGCTTGTCCGGGGCAAACGCCAGCAGTCGCCGCAGGAGATCCAGGGCCTCGGGGGGCGTGTCGGCCGGCAGGAGGGCCTCCAGCGGCTGGCGAGGCCTGCGGTGCCCGTGCGGTGGGTGTCTCCCCCCGCCCGGCCGGGCCCTCCCCACGGCCACCTCTCTGACCCCAGCCGCACCTTGTCCCCGCCCACCTAACTGGCTGTCCCCTGGACGCTCGACAGCCTCCAGGCAGCCTGGGGGGGCCACCAGATCCCCACCTGGCCTTCCGGCCCCCCCGCCTCCCTCATCCACTCAGAGCAGCTCCTGCAGGTTCCTGCCCTGAACTGCGCCCACATGCGGGGGGGGGGGGTCTTTTTTAAGTGTTTATTTATTTAGGGAGAGAGGAGAAAGGAAGAAGAGAGCAAGAGGAGCAGCTGGGGACCCAGCCTGAAACCCAGGCAGGTGCCCTGACCAGGCATCCAACCAGCGGCCTTTCTGAGCCACGCCAGCCAGGGCACTGACCAGGGCCTGTGTCGCACGACCGGCAGGGTGTGTGTGTGGGGGGGGGCCTGGCGGGCTGGGGGCAAGGGTGCGGTCAGAGTGCTGGGGCCCGGCCCCCACGCGCTGGCACTCACCGAGCCCCCACGAGGTGCAGGACCGAGGTGCCGTGGTCCGAGCCCAGAGCCAGCAGGTCTGCGGGGTGGGGGGGGGGGGGGGCAGGAGGGCGCGTGGTCTGGTGGGGCAGCTCGGGGAGGTGCGGGTCCAGCCGACCCTTCTGCCCCCCAGGGACCTCACTCCAGGTCCGGGGCTGTGTGGACCCGCCCACACCCACCCGCGGCTGCCCGCACACGCCTCACACCTCCAACACGAGGCCGTGCTCCCGTGCCTCCGCCCTTGGGGGAGCCCCTTGCCCTCTCCACTTAGCAAAGTGGAGACTTGGGGAGAGAACGGGGTCCCCCCACCTGGTCCTTTCCTGTCTCTTGCCTCACCCCGTCCCTCGGGGAAGAGGATGGGTACCCCACTCCCCCCCCCCACGTCCCTGCTGCTGCCTTCTTCCACCTCTTCCCCCCACCTGCCCTCCCCAGCTCCCAGCGCGGTGGGGACCCCTCCCGAGTCCTCACCCGGAGGTCTGGGGCTCTGGTCCCGACCTGGCCGGGCCCACCTTGCCGATGGTCTGGCTGCTGCCTGACACCCACAGCCTCTCCCCCCGGGCCAGCCTCCTCCTGCAGCCCCCGAGACTCCTGGGCCCCCTCCCCATCAGCCTCCCCACCAGTCCCGGGCCGTCACGCACTGTGTCCCCACGGCCTGCGCCCCCACCCAGCGGGCCCCGCGCACACGCACCCTCTGCGGACGGCGGCGGGACGGTCCGGAGGACCAGCTCCAGCTGGTGGAGTGTGGACGTGCCCGGGAACAGGGGCCGGCCCCGCAGCATCTCCCCCAGGATGCAGCCCAGGCTCCACAGGTCCACGCCGGGGGTGCACCTGGGGCAGAGGCGGGGCTGGGGGAGGGGCGTGCCAGGGGGCGGGGCCGGGGGCTGGGGGGGGATGGTGTGGAGGCGCGGGAAGGCCCTGGGGCCCGGCTGGGCAGGAGGGCACGGGGCCTCCTGCGGCGGGAGGTGGCGACGGAGTAGGCTGGCGTCACCGTTACCGTCTCGAGGACAGCAGCACCTCTGGAGCCCGGTACCAGCGTGTGGCCACGTACTCGGTCAGGGCCTGGCCCTCCGGCCCCTCGGGGGGGCCGCCGAGGGTGCGGGCGAGGCCGAAGTCGCAGAGCTTCACCTGGCAGTTGGCGTCGAGGAGAACGTTGGATGGCTGGGGCAGAGGAGCGGCTGGGGTGAGGAGCCAGGGCAGCGGGCGGGGGGGGGGGGCGCACCCGGGGCGGGGGCGGCACCTTCTGGTCCCGGTGGACGACGCCTCCCGAGTGGATGAACTTGGTGGCCCGCAGCAGCTGGTGGAAGATGCAGCGTCTGTGGACGTCCTGCAGCAGCCCGCCCTTGCGGATGACAGCGTTCAGGTCTGTGTCTGGGGGGGGGGCGTGCAAGTCCGTGAGTGGGGGGCGGGCTGTCCTGGGGACACCAGGCAGGTCTGCCCCACGTCGAGCCCTGGCAGGCAGGGGCACCTCCGTCCACCTGCAGTCCCAGGTCCCACGGGCCACCCTCGGGGCCGCGTCCGGGGGGAGCCCACAGGCATCTGGGATCAGCCAGAAGGAGGTGTCGGGGCTTTCTCTACGATCCTCGCTGGAGGACGTTTTCCATTGCTTTTTAGCGAGAGGGGACCCGAGAGAACAGGGGTGTGAGCAGCCTCCATCTGTCACTCCCGGAACGTGCCCTGACCGGGTGTGGGATCTGCAGCCTTTTGGCTACGGGCGGCTCTCCAACCCAGCCACGCCGGCCAGGGCTGTGAGGTCCTTTTTAATGCTCTACTTCATGCCTTTTTCTTAGAAAACGAGTAGGAAAAGGAGAGGCATCTGGGAACAGCGGACGAGGCAGGAGCCCCGTGCGGACGGGAGGAGCCCCCCAGGGCTGACGCGTGCCAGCCGTTTGTCCTTGGGTGCAGGGGCACTGTCCGAGGCGAGGGTGCTGGCCGCGGCGGGCGTCTGAGCAGCGGAGGGACACGCAGAGGGAGCTGGGCCAGGGCAGTGGGGGGCTGGGGGCGGACGCGGCCTCGCTCACCCATAGACTCAAACACCAGGTATATGTCCTTGTCATTCTCGGCCCGGACCACATCCAGGAGCCGGACGATGTTCGGATGGCCCCCAAATTCCTGGGGGGAAGGCCGGAGGCTGTGCTGTGGGGTGAAGGGGCCGGGCCTCCCGTGCCTGGGAGGGGGGCTGACCTGGGGGACCGGGCAGATGCCCTGGCCACTCACCTGCAGCAGCATGACCTCCCGGAACGTTCTCTGGGACGAGAGAAACACGAGTGTGTGCGGACCCAGAAGGACCCAGAGGGGCTGGCGCTCCTCACCCACACACCCACTGGCCTGTGGGGACCGCTGCTCGGGGCCATGCCAGAGCGCGGCTGTGGCTGGGCTCCCAGGCGCCAGGGCAGCGGCGGTCAGCTCCCAACCCCGCCCCCGCCCCGCCCCGCGATGCCTCCCTCGACTACCTGGGCATCCGTCTTATCCCTGAAGGCCTCCAGGATCTTCTTGATGGCCACAACCTCGCCAGTCCTCCGATTCACTGCCTTCCACACAATCCCGTAGGCCTGGGGGGGAAGAGGTCAGCCTCCCAGCCCACCGGCGCCCCCACCTGGCTGCTCTGCAGACAGGCCCCTCCTTCCCGCCCTGGCTTCTGGGAGCGGTGGGAGTGTGGCGGCCCCCCGCCGCGCCCCTGTAGGCTGCCCGGGAGCCCAGCCTCTTCTGGAGGAGGTGACGGGCGGCAAGGGCGCCGGAGACCCGTGTGGGCTGGGTTCCGGGGCAGGACCCTTCTGCAGGCCCCCTGACCCCTCTCTCTCACACCCCGTCCAGTGTCTCAGCAAATCCCTTTGGCTCCTTCAGAATTCATCAGAGCCCGACCGTTTCCACCACCTCTGCTGCCCCCGCGCCAGGCTGAGCCACCCGCCTGTCTTGCCTGGGTCGTGGAGACTCACATTTTGACCGCCCCACCTGGCCCCCACCCCCGTCCTCAGCAGTGGGCGGGCTGCCACCTGCCGCGGCTGCCTGTGTCCCTAACAGTAGAAGCCCAAGTCCCCAAAGTCCCGCACGGTCGACCCCTCCCCCGGTCTCTCCTGTCCAGTCTCGGCGACTCTGCTGGCCCTCCCAAAGCCACGCAGGGTCTGACCTCAGGGCCTCTGCGCTTGCCCCGCGTGCCCTGTCCGACCCGCTCTTTCTCCCCTCCCCCACAGCACACCCACAGTCACACACCGTCGCACACACACTCACACGCAATTCCACCCGCTCACTCACAATCACAAACACACACGGAGTCACACACGCCCCTGGCTCTTGCTCCACGCCCCCCGCGTGCACCAGCTCAGGCCTTCCTGCCCTCCCCCTCGGCGATGGGAGCGGGTGGACCCAGCCTCCGGGGGCGTCCCGTGGGCATCGGGAGACGCAGCGGGGGAGCAGGGGCAGGGGGGTGGGGACGGCGGTGGAGCGCGGCTCCAGGATCACGCCTGAGGCCACTGGGGCCCTGGCTGTCCGTCCCCTGCCTCCTGGAGCCACGTCCCCGGACAAGTTTCCGGGGGGTGGGCACTGTCTGGGCGCTGTGACAGAAAACTGAGGCTCGGGGGACCTTGCCCAAGGCCACGCCCCCAGTCGGTGGGGGAGGCGAGACGCGAGCCTGGGAGTCCCCGTGGAGTCGGGGGAAACAGACCCCGGACTGGCCTTGCAGGTGGCCCGGCCCCTCGCACGCCCGGTGGCTTCCCCCGGGCTCACCCCCTTCCCGAGCCGCCGCTTCAGCAGGTATCGCCGGGCTACACGGGGATCCACCTCGGCGGCGTGCATGCTGGCGGGTGGGCGCAAGGGACCTGCACTGCACACTCCAGCGGGGCTGGAACTGTTGAACCCGGTTGCCTTGGGAACCGGCAGCGGCGCCTCCCGGGAGCTGGCGCGGGGAGGGGGCGGGGCCTGCAGCTCAAGCGCCGCCCGGTCCAGGGCCACCCTGGAGCCCCTTCCCGCACCACGCCCCTCGGCACCGCCCCAAAGCTCGGTCCGGGAGAAGGGGCCCTTTTCTGCCCTCTGCCCCCAGGACCCTCCGCATCCGACGGAACCCTCTCTGCCAGCTCTGGGCCGTGGCACGGGCGGTGCGCAGGCCTGGGACGCTCTTCCCCGCTCCGCCTCCCTTCCTCCGGCCTCTGGGGCGGCGGTGCTGATGGTTAGGGGGTCCTTCACAGGCAGCCCCCGCCACTGCAGAGCTGCTTGGGGTCAGGGGCCGCGCCAGGCCCACCCAGGGCGAGGGGCCGGACTGAGCAGGTGCTGGGGCGGCCCCTCGTGGCCGGGAGAGCGAAGCTGGAGGAGGGGAGGTGGTCAGACGGGCTGAGAAGAAAGCGAGGCGGGGGCCGGAGCCAGGGGAGGACGTGGGAGCACACGCAGTCCTGACATCTGGACAGACTGAAGGGAACCAGCGCGGGGCTCAGTAACGGAGGCTCCCAGGCCCGAGTGGGGCTGCGATCGGGCCCACCCGAACCCCTCCTTTCCCCGCCTTCCCCCACCAACCCCGGAAGGGGCGTTGACGCTGCCATCGTGCCTCTGAGAACGTGGCGGATAAGCAGAGTTATTCCAACATCGGTGAATTGTGAAGTCAATTTTCAGTGAACACTCGACTCGTCCATTATCTGTATTATTTTATATTTTTATTTTTTATCGCTTTTAGAGAGAGCGGGAGGGGGAGAGAGAAATGTCGATGTGCAGGGGAAACGTCGACCCATTGCCTCCTGGACTGAACCCACAACCTAGGCATCGGGCCCGGCCGGGAATCGAACCTGCAAGCTTTTCCGGTGCCGGATGATGCCCCAACCACATGAGCCACCTGGCCAGCGTCATTAGTTGTTTCAAAAACTGCTGTTCTGTGTTTTTTTTCTCGGGGCCATTATTTCTACCAGCTCCCACTGTCCCTTGTTCAAATAGCCTGCGGATGTCAATCTTGAGAAGGTTTTATCTTCTCAGTCGTTAGTGAAGAGGAAGTTGGGTCACGGGCGGGGGTGACCTTCGACTCTCTTCTGAGTGAGCGCGTTATCAACTTGGGGTGGGCACTCACCGCGCAGTAGATAAAAATGGACCGTGTATTTATTACTATTAGTGAGAGAGAGAGATCGATTTGTTGTTCCGCCTCTCTGTGCATCCCGGATTGGTGCCTGTGGGCCCCACCCCGGGGTGGAGCCCGCAACCTCGGTGCATCCGGACGACTGATCAGCCCAGCTTCCGGGCAGGGCTGGACTGCGCGCTCGTCTCGGGCTGATCCGCGGACAGTAGGCGAGGCCTGGTCCAGATGCAGAATCAGCAGGAGGGTGGGGGGGGGGGGGGGGGGGGTGGCAGGTCAAACCCCTCAGGCTGAAACAACCTGGTGGGAACCTCCAGCCTCAACCATTACCAGCCTCCTTGTAACCTAGGATACCAGGCTCGGAAGGTCCCCTGCCCCCGCCTCCCAGGTGGAAGACTGCCCCAGAACAAACACGCGGGCCCCACCCTCCCGGGCCACAGGCCTCCAGTGAGGGCCCCACCCCCTCCCCCTGCCCCAAGGATCAAAGTCCGAGTAGATAGCACAGCTGCTGTCCCACCTGTGTGCCAGTTGTAGCCACCGCCCTTCCTGTCCTGTGCACAGCCCCGCCTCCCCACGCTGGGGGAGCCCAGTGTGCTCAGGTGTCCTCTGCTTTGTCCTGCCCCCGAGTGGGCTATGGACACAGGCACCCAGGCCACTCTGGCCTGCCCCCAGTGCCGCGGAGCCCCACCCGGCTCTCCTGTGCGCCCGGCGTGCACCCTGGGGTCCCATGGGCTCCAGTCTGTTTCTGCTCCTGGGAAGTGGGGGGTGCAGTGTGGCCCACACCGGGCCGTGCGTGCGGGGAGGGCAGAGCGCTTCCTGCGGGGTGGCTGAGGCTGGGGTGCCAATGCACCCCAGGGCCTGGACCTGGGCTCCCACCTGGGGCTGTCCGTGGGCCTGCTGTGGGCCTGGCCCTGGTTCTGAGGTACTGGGCCATGGAGGGGAGGCCGCCTGAGGAAGGGCCCTGGCCTGAATGCCCGGCCAAGAGCCAGCTCGGGTGGTGGCGGCGGTGGTGGTGGAGGGGACAGCCTGCAGGCAGCACACAGCCTGGGACATGGAGGGGACAGACTCATGCCCCACCCAGGGCCAGCCAGGCCTCGGGGCTCAAGGGCTCCATGCCAGCCAGAGACGCACTGGATGTATGCACTGGACAGCCAGGTCCCCCTGGACCTCGTCATGTTACTGCTCACGGTCCCCTTTGCCCTGGTCCCCACCACCAGCATGCTGCTTCTGACCAAAGGGCCAGGTGCTGGGCTGGGGATGCAGTATCCGACTGCCAGGCCCCTCAGGGTCCCTTTGTCGGGCCGCCACTCAGCATCTGCTTGGGTTCCCAGGGCTGAGCTCCAAGGACAGGGTCTCTGGCATCCCCTGAACCCCCCGTCCCCCCTCCAAATGCCACAGGTCCAGTTGGCCCTGGCAGGTGCAAAGGCCGTGGGCACTGGTCATGTGCTGGCTTCCGGCTGCAGGTTCTAGGAAGGTGGCCGGCTCTGTCCCTGTCCAGGGCACGGGGAAGGGCAGGGCAGAGGATGTGGCCAGAGGCAGTGTAGGCAGTGGCAAGAGCCCGCCAAGGTCCCAGCCACAGCCCAGTGCTCTCGGAAGTCCTTGGACAAGTCACTCCGTGCGTCAGTTTCTCCATCTGTCAAATGGGAGCAGAGGCTCTGGAAGTGCCCACGCCAGGGCCAGGCGCCGTGCGGGACCCGGCGGATTACTCCCGAGGACGGGGAGCTCACCCAGGTCTCAGGAGCTGAGCGGGGAGGGTGTCCGAGGCAGGGGGTGGGCCCTGGGGGAGGGTGGTGAGCTGAGTGGCCAGAGGGGTGTTGTGAGAAGCATCCCAGGAATAGGCAGTGGGACCTTCTGTCGCAGCCTGGGGTCCGGGATAGACCCCCAGCAGGGAGCTCTGCGGGGAGGAGACCTGGCCAAGGTACGGGGTGGGGGAGGGGCCGTGGCAGAAGCTGAGCAGACTGTTCGCGCCCCCTCCTCCCAGGGACTTTGCAGCTCAGTGACCCCACCAAGAGGTGAGTGACACCCCAGACCCTCCCCAGCCTGAGTCCCAGGGAGACGCAGTCTCGGTCGCTGGAAGAACAAAGACCACCGTCTATTGGGGGGGGATGGGGATGGGGACTCCGAGGATGGGGAGAAACGTCACAGGTAACGTCTGGTTTTGAATCTGGACCCTTGGAGGTGAGTTCTGTCTCCCGTGGGCGGCGGTGGGACCCGGTGCGCACCGGAGACACCCTCTCCCCAGCACGGCGAGACGGAGGTCGCCGGAGGTCCAGGGAGAAAGTTTCCTCTGGCCTGCCGGCGGAGCGCCCTCCTCTTCCCCGGAGGGCTTGCGCCTGGAACCACCGAGGCTCCCCAAAGCCGGCGATGCAGGCGGGTCAGAGGCGAAGCCTTGCACCAGCGGGCAGGGGAGACGCCTGCCAAGTTGGGGGCTGCTGAGGGCGGGGCCACTGTGGGCGGGGCCAACGGGGAGGGAGCTGAGCCAGGGTGCAGGGCTTGAAGGTGCTCGGGGCCAGGGCCGGGCCTGCGGCAGGGCCAGGGCCGGGGAGGGACTTGGAGGGGTGGGCCCGCGTCGGGGCGTGGTTTAGATGTGGGGGCAGGACCAGGGCCGGGGCAGAGCTTCCACGCAGCTCCTCAAACTATTCCACCGAGATGGCCTAACTGGTCATCTCAGTACTGGGAGAGGCAAATCGGGAGGACTCTGCAGACAAAGGAGAACAAGACGCTCACCAGACATCTCCTGGGAGGAGACATTTATGGGCTTTAAAGTGAGGGCAAGTCACCGAGAAATTCAGGAGGCTGGGAGGACTTAAAAACTCAGCCCATTGGGGCCCTGAGCGGCCAACAGAAATTAAAAGGCCAAGGTTAACCCAGGCACTCCCGTGAGGGTTGTGTGTGCGGCCAGGAGCCCGGGGGAGGGGGGCAGGGGCAGTGCGGCCTGGGAGGCACAGGGTGAGACCATGAAGGACCAGACCGGCCGAGGGAGCAGGTTTCCACCTCCCACAGTCTCAGCGTCGCAACCCGTCCATTAGGGACAGCGGCCCCAGCAGGCCTCAAGGGTGACGAGAGGTGGGGTGCAGGCGGCTGCCCCTAAGAGCAGGGACCCAGGTATGTAAATGCCAGGCCTTGGAGGGGGCTGGAGAGAAACGTACCAAATGCCCTCCGTGAAGCCCCCGCTTGCGAGTTCAAGGTGCTTTTTTTTTCTCCTGATTATACTCGGCATTTTGTAAATTTTCTGTAAGTCAGGCACCAATAGATTAAAAGCCTGTATTATTTGAGACCAATATTCAGATGCTATTTTAGTTTATAAGCAGCATTTTTTTTAAAGATTGTATTTATTTATTTTTAGAGAGGGAAGGGAGAGAGAGAGAGAGAGAAACATCAATGTACGCGGTTGCTGGGGGCCATGGCCTGCAACCTGGGCATGTGCCCTGACTGGGAATCGAACCTGCGATGCCTGGTTCTCAGCCTGCACTCAGTCCACTGAGCTACACCAGCCAGGAGCAGCACTTTTTAGAAAAATATTTTATTTATTTATTTTTAGAGAGAGGGGAAGGGAAGGGAAGGAGAAAGAGAGGGAGAGAAGAATCAGTGTGTGGTTGCCTCTTGTGCACCCCCTACTGGGGACCTGGCCCACAACCCAGGTATGTGCCCTGACTGAGAATCGAACCAGTGACCCTTTGGTTCACAGGCCCGCACTCAATCCACTGAGTCACACCAGCCAGGGCCAGCAACATTTCTTTAAATTTTTAATGTTAAAATGGAGATCCTGCATTGCCTTGACATTTACGTCATTTTGTTTTTATTTATAAAATACATTTTTTGCCCTGGCTGGTGTGACCTGTTTGGTTGGAGTTTCATCCTGTAACCAGAAAGTTTCCAGGTTTGATTCCCAGTCAGGATGCATACCAAAGTTGTGGGTTGGACCCCCGGTCCGGGCATGTACCAGAGGGAACCAAGCAATGCTTCTATGTCTTCCTCTCTCCCTTTCTCTCTCTCTCTCTAGCAATGAAAAAAAAAAAAATGTCCTTGGGTGAAGATTAAAAAATACATTTTTTTTTACAAGGAGGAAAATGCCTTAACTGTGTCCCTAATTTTCAGAGGCTCTGCCACACCTCTCGTGCAGGTGAGGCTGAGCGAGTGAAGCGCCGCGGCTCGGACACCGGCCGGCTGCCGCAAGTCCGGCGCGTGCCAGCTGGGGGCTGCTCGGGCTGCGGCTTCGCGTGTGAGACTCGGAAGCAAGTCCAGCGTCGTCCTCTGGAAGCAGAAGCCCGCCCCATGTGGGTCCGTCTGTGCAGGGTGGGCACACGGACCTCGGCCACCGCCCTTGAGTGAGAGAGTTGGGGGGACTGGAGCTGGGGGAATAGGGCTGTTGCCCAAGCAACGGTGTGATAGTGGGGAAGGGCAACTAAGTTCTGTCTCCATGGAGACTGCATGGGCTGAATGCCAACGTTACTCAAGGTGGGCCCAGCCTGATGGACGGCGAGGTCCCAAAGGAGCCCGTAAATAAAGGTTGGCTGCGGTGCTCTGACTCCTGAATAACCCCATATTCCTGATTCTGCCTCTCCCCAACTCCTCCCCCTACTAGAATATTCAGGCTGGGGAGGAGGAGGGCTGTGGTGGAGGAGCTGGCTGCGGACTGTGCCCTCACCCGTCCCCGTGCCCCAGGACCGGACCCATGGCGCCCAAGAAGAAGAGCGGGCAGAGGGCGGGGAGCCGGCAGGTCGCGACGGAAGACGTGGCCGAGCCGCAGCTGTCGGAGCGCGCGCAGTACCTGCAGCGCGAGTACAGGCTGCTCTCGGAGCAGCTGGACGCCTGCCAGGAGCGCGTAGACCTGGTGCTGCAGGAGAACGCCTTCCTGGACTGCGAGGCGCAGCGCCTGCGCGAGGAGAACCGGCTCTACGCCAGCTACGTGAGCGCGCGCGCGCAGCGCTGCGCCAACGCCATCGTCCGACTTGAGGACCAGAACCGCGTGGACCTGACGCAGATCCAGTGGCAGCGGGCCGATCTCGAGTCGCTGTATCACGGGCGCGAGGACGGGGTGCGCACGCAGCTGCTGGAGATGGAGGCGCGTGCGGCGCAGATGGCGCAGCGGGTGGAGGAACTGCAGCCCTACAAGGCCAGTGCGCGCGCGCCTGTGGGCGGGTCAGGCGGGTGCGGGCGGGCTAGGTGCGTGCGGCACCCGGGCTCTGACCGGCGCCAACGCTGTAGGAGCTGCAGCTGGAGCAGCTGGCCCGGATCCGGACGCTGGAGCGCGAGCTGCTGCACATGAGCGTGGAGCATACTCAGCAGCTTCACCGCGTGAAGCGGCTCTTCCAGGAAGACAAGGCGGCCTTCGAGCGCGAGGCGCGCCAGCGCGTGCAGTCCATGGCGCGGCGCGCGGAGCGGGAGGCTGCGCGCGCGCTCGTCACGCACACGCAGGCCATCAGGGCAGACAATGAAAGGCTGCGGGAGGAGCTGCTGCGGCTGCTCAGCCGGGCCCAGCTGCTGCATGACAAGCAGCGCCAGCTGCTGCAGCAGCGGGAAGAGCTGCAGCGTGAGCACCAGGACACATGGGACCTGGCAAAGGTGCATGGTTGGCTGCTCCGGGGAGCCAGGGGTCCGGCGCTGTGGCAACCGCCACCGTCAGCCTCTGGCCCGGGGTCCTTCGCTTACCCCGTCGGCCCGTCGCACACAGCCTCCCAGAGTCCGTCTCAGTTCTCTTTGACCGCGTTCTCCAGGATCCCGTCGTTGATCCCGTTGTGTGTGGGCTCCAAGGTCCCGTCGCTGGTCTCACTGAAGGAGAGTTCATGGATCCCATACCAGGACCTGCTGCAAGCGGAGGCCTTGGCCCCCTCCCACCCTGACTCCCAGGCCCCACCCTTGGCCCCCTCCCGCCCTGACTCCCGGGTCCCATCTTTGGCCTTCTCCCACCCTACCTCCCGGTTACCATCCTTCACCCGCCCCCACCCTGACTCCCGGGTCCCATCCTTGGTCCCCTCCCTCCCTGACTCCCGGTTACCATCCTTCACCTGCCCCCGCCCTGACTCCTGGGTCGCGTCCTTGGCCCGCCCCCGCCCTGACTCCCAGGTCCCATCCTTGGCCTTCTCCCTCCCTGACTCCCGGTTGCCATCCTTCCCTCGCCCCCGCTCTGACTCCAGGGCCCCATCCTTGGCCCCAGCCGGCCCTGACTCCCGGGTCTCGTCTTTGACTGGGTCCCGCCCTGGCTCCTGGATGGGGCCCTTGCAGTTCTCCAGTCGGAGGAGACCGTGAACTGACCGTGAACGGACGCTGCAGAAGGCCAGGGTGGGGGAGATCGGTGCGCAGGACAAGTTTCTGGTGAGTGCAATTGTTAATAAAAATGTGACCACACATACACACGCGCCCCTGGGGCACCGCCTGCCTTGCTGCTCCAGCATCTCCTGCCAGCCGAGGGACTACCTATCCTGGCTTCCCGTCTCCAGCCTGCAAGGCAGCTTGGTGTGCCCTTGGCCTTGTGAATCAGCCAGGACTCAGCATCCCTCCACACCCTGGCTGATGTCCGGCTGATGCCACCGGCGCAGAGAAAGTCGGCCACATCAGCGTCCTGCTCCCTAGGTCTGACAGTGGTGGCAGAGACAGACGTCACCCCCGTGGCCAGATGGTGGGGAGCAGGAAAGGGGCTTGGGGCCAGGGAGGAGCGGGGCAGCCTGCAGCTGTGCTCAGGGGGACCGGGGTGGTGCAGCTGCCATTGGGCGTATCACCGGAAGCCACGGGAAGCCACCGGAAGCCACGGGTTTAGCTTCTTCTGGGGGGGGGGGTAATTTTTTATTTTGATACAATTTCCAATTTAGAGAACGTTACAAGAATAGTGCAGGGAAGCCCTTCATACCATCTACCGACATTCACCAGCACTTTGCTTTCTACAACTTTGGAAGGCAGTGTGTTGTGTGTGTGTGTGTTGTGTGTGTGTGTGTGTGTGTGTGCGCTTATGTTCACCTGCACCCCCCAAAGGTTTTAGATTAGGCTCCTTAGGTTGTGCCCCTTCACCTCCAATAGTGTTTCCTGAGCACAGTGACATTCTCCTACGTTACTGCACCCCAAAGCTCCAAGTCAGGAAATCCCGTGTGGAGAAAACAGCATTAGCTGATCCACGGTTCCCATGAAAATGTCGCTGTCCCGACAGTGCCCTGGGTGGTCACCCATTTGCCGGGATCATGCACATTCAGGTGTTAGTCCCAGCGTGCTCGGGCCAGTTGAGCTGTCTGAGGGGGCCAGGCCCTGTACCACAGGTGCTGGCGCCGGGGCAGCAACTCCCTTCTCCGTGCAGAGGGCAGGTTTATAAATGGCTGGGTCTTTGGAGGAGAGCTGGAGTGCCAGAGGCAGGACCAGCGTGGGTGCGCGTACTATCGGGTGGCCACAACGCTGTGACACCCAGACAATGAGCCTGATGGCCCAAATTGGACAGCCCATGGGATGGGATGGCGTGGGAAACTGGGACTGGACCTGGGCCCCGTGGTGTGAGTTCAGAGCACAGGTTGAAAATGAAGCCCCTTTTTGCCAAGAGCAGTGTAATCTGGGCGAACCACACAGAGGAAGTTGTACCCACACAGAGGAAGAGGGTACAAACCCTGCCCCACTAGACTCTGCCATTTGGGGTCCTCAACACCCTCTAACCTGGTGCTTCCCATGAAAAATTGCCTGAGCCCTGGCTGGTGTGGCTCAGTGGATTGAGTGCCAGCCTGTGAACTGAAGGGTCGACAGTTCAATTCCCAGTCAGGGCACATGCCTGGGTTGTGGGCCAGGTCCCCAATAGGGGGTGCACGAGAGGCAACCACATTATTGATGCTTCTATCCCTCTTTTTCCCTCCCTCCCCCTCTCTCTAAAAATAAAATCTTAATGAAATAGTTCCTGAGAAACATCCAAGTAGGCATTTGTCAGTTTCTCTCTGTGGTCCTGTATTGACTTTGTGCATTTTGAAGCAATTGTTCGTTGCTACCAGTTTTGAACTACTAGCTAGCTCTTCCTGCGAGCTGAACCCCGAGTTGGCCTGCAGGGTTCTTCCCTCTGACTGCCCGCGGCCTGTGCGCTGTTCCTGAGGCTGCTCCCCCTTTGCACGCACCCCCATCTGTGGGCGTCAACGTTGTACCTCCGACGTGTCCGAGATCCAGCGTAAATGGTTCTGATATTTTAAAACACAGTCTGACGGCCCTTGTTGTTTCCCTTCAGAGTGTAGTCTGTACTGGTCGAGTTGCAGTGTTTTAAATTTTTAATTATTTTATCGTGTTTTTTTTTTCCATTACCATTTAGCCCCCTTACAGCCCTCTCGCTCTCTTCCACAATCACCACACTGTTGTCCATGCCCATGAGTCCTTTTTCATTTTTTAAAAAATATATTTTATTGATTTTGCTATTACAGTTGTCCCATTCTTCCCCCCCCTTGAGTCCCCTCCACCCCCCCCCCCCACCTGCATTCCCCTTCCTTAGTTCGTGTCCATGGTCGGACATACGAGTTTTTGGCTTCTCCATTTCCCATAGTGTTCTTAACCTCCCTGTCTGTTTTGTACCTGCCACTTATGCTTCTTATTCCCAGAACCGTTTCCCCCATTCTCTCCCCCCTTCCCTCCTGATAACCCTCCATGTGAGCTCAATTTCTGTGATTCTGTTCCTGTTCTAGTTGTTTGCTCAGTTTGTTTTTTGTTTCAGTTCGGTTGTTAATAACTGTGAGTTTGTTGTCCCTTTACTGCCCATAGATTTTATCATCTTCTTGTTTGATAAATTCCTTAACACGTCCTGTAACAAGGGCTTGGTGAGGATGAACTCCTTTAACCTGACCTTAACTGGGAAGCAGTCTAATCAGCCCTTCCAGCCTCAATGATAGCAGAACTCCCCACGCCCAGGATCGGCGGCCTTCAGCACCGAGAGAAAATAAATCAGTCCGCGCCCGTGGTTGGCTCCTGGCAGCTCTGACAGACTCAGCACCTAAGAATGGAGTGTGCTCTCAAGTCCTCCTGTGACATCTACAACGGTCTTGCTGTAAAAGAACATTTTCTTTTTTTCTCCTCGCCCCGTGAGAGAGAACCGGGAAGCAGGCAGATCGCTGAAGCCACCGCCGCGGGGCGCCTCCGCGGGTCGGCCGGGGCTGGGTCCCGGGGCGGCTTGCATGCACGAGGAAGCCGTGCTCTCCAGCGACACCTCCCCCCGCGGGAACAGCAGTGGCCCTCGGGGAGACGGAGGAGCCCTTTGGGGACGGGAGGGCGCCGAGGAGCAGCCGGTCTCAGGAGACAAAGTGAGCAAGAGACGCAGCCCGGAGCCGCGCGCCCGCAGTGGACGGCGGGGTGGGGCGGGCTTCGGGAACACCCCGCGACGCCCGGGCTGGCGCCCTCGCGGGGGCCGCTCCGCGCCGGAAGGGGCGGTGCCGCCGGGCCGGAAGGGGCGGTGCTTCGGGGGGCGGGCACGGCTGCGGCCTGTTACGCTCAGGCGGGCGCTCCGCGGGTCCGCGCCGCCCGCCCCCGGAAGACGGCGGGGGTCTGGTTTGAGCGCTGAAAGCCAGCCGCTTTGCTGCAAACGAGCGACTGGGGGACGTGGGACACACAGTCCTGTGGTCACACGTTAGAAACGGAGCGGCCCGGACAGGACGGCGTGCGGCAGCGAGACGACCCCTGGTTGTGGAGGTGAGAGGCGAGCGGGGTGGCAGCGGGGACGTGGGACTGCTCCGCCCGACGTCCGGCGGAAGTGGTCCCACCTGCACGGGCAGGCGGAAGTGGTCCCACCCAGCGAGAACCACCATCACGGCGGGGTCGCCCCCGAGAAGTTCAGGCTGGAGTCTCAGGCCGTGGCCGAGGCCACTGGGCTAAGAGGACACGGACCGGGCCCTCGGAGGCCGGAAGACGATCCTCCGGGACCCTCGTCCCCCAGGTGCCGTCGGGCAGGTGGGGCCCGCAGGTCACAAACTTCCCCAGCGGAAGTGCGTCTCCCGCCGCCGGAAGCGCTGCCCCCCCCCATCTTGGTCGCACCCTGAGCCCGCGGGGTGTGTTGTTCCCGGTCCGGCCCACCGGCCCCAACCTCCCCGCCCCCTGACCGTCCTGGTGTGGCCCCTGACTCGACCTGTGCCTGGGAGCCTGCACTGCCCTCCGCCCGACGTGTAGGTTGGCTGTTTCTTCCTCGCTTAGTTGTGTTTTTCTGGAGCTCGGATCTGTTTTTTTCATTTGGGCCATACATATAAGCATATGTATTTGTCTCAGCACGCCTGTTAGGTAGCAAGGGGCGGAGCCTCAGGTGTTCGCCAGGGCGGGGCAACCCCTCTTGCTGCCTTGTGACGCTGCGGGTCCGGGAGGGGCGTTAGAGGGAACCGGGCGGTTTGTAGGGATCTCCGCAGGCTTTCCGTCACTTCCCCCGCTTCCCACAGGCAAACCGGGCCCTTCTGCTGCTGATTCCCCGGTGGGTGGCTTGTGTACGGTCTAGGACCCCGTGGATCTCTCCAAGGAACTCTCCTGTGAGGCTGGGAGTTTCTCCTGCCTCCCCAACCCCCACAGTTTTTTTTTTTTTTTTAAATATTCACTTGTTTTTAGAGAGAGAAGGGAAGGAGGGAGAGAAACATCGATGTGTGGTTGCCTCTTTCCCAGCTCCTACTGGGGACCTGACTTGGCTAGAAACCCAGGCCTGTGCCCTGACTGGGACTCGAATCCATGACCCTTTGCCTTGGAGCAGCCCAGTGCTCGGTCGACTGAGCCACACCAGCCAAGGCTCCCCTGCTAGTTTTCTCATAAGAGGCTTTGAGGCTTCATTTCCCCAGTCAGGACCCTGGGTTGCACGGTCTGTCTTGATCCCCAGTTGTTCCTCCCAGTTTATCCGACAGAAATGTGGGACCTCCCACTCTGCCAGCTGGCCTTGT